AGTCTCAAACCAAGATCAAAACGACTTTTTGGCTGGATATAAGGTTTTAAAACTTGGTAAGATGGACAGCTTTTGCAGTGTGTTCTTCTGGAAGCAGAGTGGTTGAAGCAAAAGGCCACTATTGCTGTCAAATCCCTTTTTTTGCATTAACAAACAACACCAAACTTCAGATTAATCCTACATTTTGCACACATTCCTGTGAAAATGTTCGGCTTGGGCCTTGTGTTGAAAAGAAGAAAAAAAAAGCAGACTGAGAACGAAACAAGTTTTGTTCAAAACTACGTCAATAAGAGCTGGTTTTACAGCTTCGAATGAAGCATGACAGGCCCTTTTTATTTGGAATTAAAGTTCTACTTTCAACATTTTATTGTGAATATATTCATAGCCAAGAACAGTCATCTGAAAAATGTAGACTAAATTCAAGTTTATTTGCAAACAAATATGACTTCATTAAATGCTTCTTCTATACAGTAGTTTATAGATCTTTGTTGTAAATGAACAAGAGGTGAAGGTCAGTCAGCTGTTAATTCTTGCTGGTTCTCGTCAGCACAACAGAGCCACATGTGGAGGTCTACAACAGAAAAATGTACACATCACCGAAGCAAGAAATACATTATTACAATAAATGTTTATCAAAACTGATTGTTTAAAGACATTACTATCTAACATCCTTACAACCAGCTCAGTTTCCTCAGCTGCAGATGCTGATCGTTGATTGTAGTAACTTCTGTCACTACACAACTATCTCATCCCACAAAGGGTGAGTGTTTACCTCAACAAGTTTGCCCTCACTGATCTGAGTAATGTTCCTGTAGTTGGGGAAGTTTATAGACAGCTTATCTCCCTCCATGTGTACTGTGGCCTGTAGGACACATGGGCTATATTAGAAGGGGAAATAACGAGAATGAGGCCCTATCACCATTCAGTATAATGTTCAGACAACTCATGCCAACTTATGAAAATTTTAAAGACATCTATGCTGAAGATGGAACTAAAAACTTAAGTGCAAGCCACTTTTAGGCGTGTATGTAATGCTAACAAATTTATCAAAAATATAACTTTTATTAGTAATTTTGACAAAAGTTGGCATAAGTGGTCTAAAACAGTGTGACGATGCCTTTACTGATTAACTCGAGTCTTACTTGTTAACTTAAATTTCTTCCCTGTGACAGTCTGCATGTCACATTCTTTGCCAATTGTGAACGTGTTGGTGACCCTGGCGCCAGTGGGGTAGACGAGGGTCAAGGAGAAGTCATTCCCATCCTGGGTGATCTCAGTGATGAGCTTGTAGTCACGACCTTTCTCGATGATGTCATCAGGGATACCTGAAGCGCAGAATGTGAAGTTCTACGACACAAAGTATAGAACAGACATGGGTTATAAGCTGCATAAATGTTTTACTTAATGTTGAAACCAAGCCTGGAGCGATCTCAATTTTCATGTCAGTTGCTTCATTTTCAAGTAATTTAAGAGTAAAATCTATACAATGCGGTTTTTATACAAATCAGCAACAAGGGGTTTGATCAATGTAAATTATCAGCTCATGTGTCTGAGTTTCTGATTYTTTTATGGAACAAAGCTTGCTCTCTAGATGCAGAGGAGTATAGTGATGAAGTATATTTACTTTGTTACAGTAATTATTTGAGGATCTGTAATGTTATTTCCCAGTCAGAAAGATGYTGGACGTGTGTGGGAATACTCACAAGTCCCCAGCTGTGTGCTTTGGTGTTGGAGCTCACCCCGGTGAGCGAGAGGGTTCCCACCTCTTGTGCTGCAGGAGGGAAGGTTCTGACTGTTGTTTGTGCTTATGCACCAATATCAGTTCAGATCGCTTAGCCTTTTTGGAACCTTTGAATGGTGTCCTGAAAGGGGTAACATCTGGGTACTCCCTTGTTCAACTGAATGACTTCATTGTCCATGTGGGCAATAACAGAGTTATCTGGAAGGGGGTGATAAGAAGGAATGGCCTCCCTGTTCTGATCTTAAGGTGTTTTATATTTTAATTAAATTTTAGTTTGTCACTCCACAGTCATGGAAAAAATTCTGTCAAAAACAACAGTTATTCAGTGAAGTACTAACTCCTATGTGTGTCATGTGACTAAACCAAGAAGAAGAAGAAAAAAAAAACAATGTGAAAAGAACTTAATGT